AATCAGCCTACACCCTGAACCCCAACCCTAACTTTGATCCCCAGACCCTAAACCCTAAACCCTTTATCCTAAACTCCGATCCCTGATGCAGGTCAGGCCTGTGTATTTGGTTTTCAACTGAGCAGGGACAGAAGAAGCCCCCAGCCTCCAGCATTGCTTGTTTTGCTGCCTTCAGCAACATCTTAGCGGGGACTAGGGGAATATAATCCCTCTATAGCCCCCGTGTAATGTATTCCCATATTCCCTCCTAGAAACCAGCAAGACATTCGGGTTGCTGGAGGGGCCTCGGACAGTTGGCTCTTATCAGGGTTTCCCCTTTGTACGTGGGTGTCAAAAGCATGCCACAGACTTGAGGTGAAAAGGCCGCCCATCTCAGTCAAATCTTTACTGCCCTTAATGCATGTTTGGCGAACAATTGGAGCATACAAAACGCCGCAAGCTCTAGCTGACTCTAGCCCAATGAGGTCAAACACCGAGCCCTGTGGCCCTATTCTCAACCCTAAACCTGGAACCCTTTTCAGGGGAAAGGGAGGCAGAGGTGCCGACTACATCCAGGCAGTTTTGAAACTTTCCAAAGTACCTTCCCCAAATCTTGAACATTGTGATTTCTGAGGCGAAATCATGTTTCTTTTCTGGGTGTTCCAAATACTTGGGGCCGTATTTACTTGGGGACCCACAATTTTGACAACCCACTGTTGACCTAAACCCTCAACCCCCATCTTTTCCTTAAGGGAACTCCCGGACCATGTCCTTCAGACGTTTCTATGGACCGGCTGGCTGTGGAGAAGAGATCCCATTCAAAAAGCCCTGAGACAAGGCATCCTGCACGCAAAGGGCTTCTGCGAAAGCGGAGATCAATGCAATTATTGCCACGGTAGGCATGCCAAGGCTGGCCAAGCGCGGTTCAGGGTTTAAGGTTTAGGGTAAAGGGTTTAGGGTAAAGGGCTTAGGGTAGCCTTCCAAGCACAAGGATCGCTAGGTCACTACTTTGCTTTTCACCAATTCAGGTGTTGAAGTTTGTAAATCTGTCTGGTCCTTCAAGTGGAGATTGGTTTCTGTTCTCATGAACATCCTAGGCTAGTTCACGGTTCCCCAAAGAAAAACACGTTACAAAGGTTGGAGATTTCATTTTCAACCCTTGTTTCCTGTTCTTCAAGAGCAATCTTAAAAAATCAGCTCCTCTCAGACAGACCCATTGAGAGGGTTTTGATGATGCATGTCCGGGCGCCCCTACGGAGGTCCTTCTGAACCCTGAGCCGCGAATGGCCGGGGGTAGCTTGCCGAGAAATCTTTATATTTTCTTGAAGATTCACAGAACAAGGATTATATGGGGCTGCGCCCCTCCTCCAAACACATGTACAGGGAAGAGTCAGAAGGCCCTACAACTAAATCCTGTACCCGGAGACCCGTCAAAGCCACACAACTTGAACTCACATCATTTTGCTCATGTCGCGCAAACACCAGCCCAACTTGATGCGTGTCAGGTGCGAAAGTTCGACAGGCGGCAGAGGCAGTTTCTGAAAGATACTTGGCAAAATCATCAAGGGGCGAGCGGGCGAGGTGGCGGTGGGCGATGGTGGTGAGGGAAGCTTGAGTGCCACTGCCGGCGCTGGCTGGTGCTACAATGCTACAAAAACCATGAAGGACCTGTCTGCCAGAAGGAGTTTCTGCAATAGTAACAAGGGTGGTGGCAGTAGTAGTAGTAGTAGTAGTCGTCGTCGTAGTAGTAGTAGTAGTACTAGTAGGCGCCCCCGTTGGTTGATATTTTGACTACCAGAGCTTTTGGAAGGAGGGGGGGGGGGAGAGTGGTGGGGAGGGTGGGGATACCTGCGTAGAAACCGACCTCAACCAGTCAACTCCCAAACTTAATGCCTTCCTCCAACTGCTCCAACTAAACATGATCATGGAGTTTCTTTTGCTTTTTTGGGAGGCAAGCCAATGTGGGTCCATAGGACCGCCATTTTGGCCCGCATTTTTGACAGTACCCCCGAAATCTTTGATGACAGAGTGTCCACGTTGGCATTTCTTGGAGCCATGGTCCAGGTAAGGCTCACAAAAGCAGGCCTTCGAGAACTAACCAGCAACTTGCGTGAAAAAACATTTCGTTGTCATGTTGCTTACTGTTTTCTAATGCGGCCTCCCCCACATTAATATTGGCCATCTAAGCAAACATAGTTGGTAGGGGTCGGGGGCGGCTAGTAGTAGTAGTAGTGCTAGTAGTAGAGTAGTAGTAGTAGTAGTAGTAGTGCTAGTAGTAGTAGTAGTAGTAGTGCTAGTAGTAGTAGTAGTAGTAGTGGTGGTGGTGGTGGTGGTGGTGGTGGTGGTGGTGGTAAAGGTAGAACCTTTCCCGTGGGAGAGCTGAGTGGCCAGGAGGCTTACCCGTGGAAAACCAGAAACACACAGTGCAACTTTTTGGCAGCAGCGGGCAGGAAGTGCACGGGTCTACGCCCGGAGTCAGGGCTGTACTACACTGCAGCTCGCGTGCAGTTGAGTGCGGAAAGCTAGTGTAGTATTCAAGCCTTGCGGCGAGTAGAGGTGCTGCTATGGCAGTTAGCTACGCTAAGCTACAATTGAGTCCAAGCTCGCGTTGCTGAGCGGAGTCTAGTCGACGGCGTAAGTCATAGTTTTCTTTACGCAAAATAGACAGCTCCCACTCAGTGCCGCCTGGGTAGGCGGACTTGAGGCTACGCCCTGAACGATCTCCTTGAGGAGTGGCCTCCCTGTTAGCCTCATCATCATTTCCGGCAATTGGTAGCAACACAGGCCTGCTTTTGGATTCACGCAGATCGGCCACACGCGCGACCTTTGCGGTCGGAACCGTTGGCCCTGCGTCCCTTGGGGCAATTTCGTTCTTGACCCAAACCAAAATTGACGACGTATCCTGAGCCGTCTCGTGACTCAGCCCACAGGCAGACCCTAGCTGGTGGAGCACCGCTCTCGCTGCAGGGTCTCAAGCAACGGCCTGTCTTTGCAGGTGACCCGCTCCAGCAATCCATCGACGCCTATCCAGTCAGCAGCGGCCGAGGTCAGCTGCGGTCGCCTGCGCCCTGGAGACGTTTGCCTCTCCGCCTCGCCTAGAGAGCCGCGTCCGAAGCTTCTCAGGACCAATGAGCCCGATACTGAAAGGATCAGGCTAACGAGCCTGGCCCCACTGGCACGGATCGTGACTCTGTGGTCACGGACGTGAGCTCCTCCTTCAAATACGAACTAGGACGCACGATCAATAGGAATCGTACGCAGTGTAGGCCGAGGCTCTGCTGCAGCGGTCCATCGCAAACCGGAAATGACCGGTCCATCGCCGGCTTGATCGGCTCCGGAAGCAGGCATCAAGCCTTGGCAGGCCTGTTCCCTTTCGCTAGAGAGGCGGTCCAAGAATGCATCTGTCGGCGGTGCTGCTGGCTCTGCAGCCGCCGAACTCAATTCCAGAAGGGCGGTAGTGCTTGCCTCCGCGGCATTGGCCGCGGTGCTAGGTGGGTCAACCCTAACATCTTCTTTTGTCGCGGAAGTTACCTCAGCCGGCGCGGCCGGTGCTGCGGCAGCATCGTCGCGGGCCTCGAGCTCGCGTGGGCTCGGCTTTAGGCTCAAGCAGGGTAGCGGAGGTGCGTGTTCTCCGCCACGGATCAAAGGTGCTTGGGATACAGGCTTGTGTTTGGTGACCAGGTCGTGAATAAATCCCCAAACCATGGTCTGCGGTGTGTTTTTGATCCACAGGGCCTCGGCCTTATCGTAGATGACCTGGCCTAAGGCCTGCATTTCCTCATCCTTCAAGTCCGGGTGTTCTGTGCGGCGCTCCTCGGTGACCTTGGCGCCGGGAGCAGGCAGCGTCATGCCCATTGCGCACTGCTTCGCATAGGCGGGATTGCGCCGGACATTTCCAGCAGGCTGATCCTCCATTGATACCGTCTCCAGAGGCATACGCCCCGGTGTCCACCGAGCTCGCGTAGGGCTCCACACGCCTGCGTATGGCAGCAAAACCATATTTTTGGATGCACGCAAATTCTGCTGAACCCTGCCCACAATGCGCTCCTTTCGGTCTGCCGCGGGCCGGTACAAAACCGTGCATGGCGCGCCGGAACCGTAGCTCCGAACTTGCCCTTAACCCGGGAGCGGCGCCGGGGGCCTTGCTGCCCACGATCTCGCCTAGGGATCGGCGCTCAAACTCAGCAGAATCCTCAAACATTGAGGCAGGAGCGCGAACTAGTTGCGCAAGTGGAATTTTGGACACGAGGGGTCCATCCTCGGATAAAAACGTGGCTCGCTGCCAGTTATAGCGGCGCGCAGTTCGTACGGACCCACGCTCTTCGGCTGGAACTTGGTGCCGAAGCGCATCGTGGGATGGCGCCGCGCCCGCCCGCAGACAGCCCAATCTTGCTTGAGATGGCCCCTGTCGTAAACCTCAGCACGCTTTTCCTCGGTCGTAGCAAGGTGCTTCAAGCTGTGTTGACTCAACCGTCTTAAAGTTGCGGCGTGAGAACACTCCATGCCGCGGCTTCCCGGCCTTCGCGCGTAGTCAGATTAAAGCCCAAACGCTGCGAGGTTGGCGTCGCAGGCTGATCCAACGTGTACACGCAGTGTGCAACCACGGAAGTGCGCTCGCCGTGTGCGGCAAAACATGTTGAACGACGGTGTGCTAAAGTCTTGATCCCGCACAAGCCGCTCCGCGAAGTGCTCCATGGTTTCTCGCGCTCGAACATGCGCGGTACTAGTGGACACTGTCTGGGAGCAAGCCCTCCGCATTCACTGGACGCGGGGCCTTTAAAACAGCAACTCCGGCAGCGACTACATCGCCTGCCTCCCATTGGCAAAAAGCCTTCCTTGCGGATCGCAAGAGAACCTTCGCGGCAAAGGCCGGGGTCGAAGTGACTGTGTGCTACCTTAGGCCCCTCCGGCAGCTGGAGGATCTCAGTCGCCCCATTTGGCTCCCCAGTCCAACTGGCTGGTACAACCGCCGCCTGCTGAGCCTCGAGGGTTACCTCGGTCTTCAATGCTGCAGAGGACTCTCCACTCGGAACTCGGTGCCATCACTAAGGAAGGTCTCGCGTTCGAGCTGCGCTGCAAACCCTTCGGCCCAACAGTTGCACAACCATTCAGGCATCGATCCGCGCGTTGCACCGGTGACAAGCAAAGTCACACAAGCTCTATACCCCAGCGCACGAGGTCTTCGTCTGGGCATGTAGCCCGGTGACGGGGCGGACGCAGTGGTCTTCTGTTCATTGTGGATTTTCTGCGCCAGGCCAGCGCTTCCACTACTTTGAGGCGGGCTCGGCGACCTGTAGCGCAGTGTCGTACGCAACAGCCCCCTCGCCAGCATTGCTGCCACCTCAAATGGTGGGTACACGCGCTTATCGGAGCCGGCAGCGGCTTTGGCCTGCGCTTTGGCCTCTTTATTCCTTGCAGCCTTCTTTTCCTTGGCCGTGAGTGTCCTCTCAGCCGTTTCCTGCTGGTTATTCGCCCCCTCCTTGACATGAGCAAACTTGCAATTGTCATTGTAGGTACAACAACCATGAGCAAAAAGTCGGCAGGCTTGCTGCGCGTCGGTGCCAGTGCCGCCTTTGCCTTTACCGCCCCTCCCTTTGCCCTTACCCTTCGATGTCCCGCCCCCAGTACCGTCTTGGTCCTGAGCGGCCAGGGTATTGCGGCCGGCGGGGCCGTCCTTGATGCCCACCGCAGCATAAGTTGCAAACTGTGCCGGTGCGCCGAAATTCCGCGAGGAGCCCCTCGGATTCCCCACGTTTCTCCGCCGCTTTGCGGACAGAGCAAGGTGATATGCCCCGGATTATTGCAGTCCTTGCGCTTCTCACCAATGCCTGTGCTAGGCAGAGCCACTTGTGCCTGAGTGGTGTGTGTTGGACCCTTCGCCCTTTTTGGGCCCTGGGGAGGGGCATCCTCGGTGCTAGTGTGGTGAGCTTCCAGAGCCTGCTTCACGACTGGAGTTGGCCTGAGGGGCCAAAATCTTCGATCACCTGACGCTTCATCACGGAGGTTGTGAAGATAGTCGTAAAGCAGGTCCTTCTGGCACTTGTACGCGCCAGCGGCGTTCAGCTCAGTGAGCGCTTCCAGCCAGCTCGCCTGGAAATCCTGGAACGCGCACTCTTCTTTTCCAGGCCATCGTAGCAGGCTCTGGCCTTCATCGCCTTTGCTTCGTTTGACTCGTGGAAGGAAGCATCCATGGCCGCTACGACCCGCCAAAGACCAGCGAGGGTTTGCCCTCGTAGTCTCCATTGTACTTAGCTTAGCTTCCTTTACGATGGTGTCATAACACCGGCGAAGCGTACCTTTGAGGGCACGGGCAAAGGACTGCAATTTCTCGCGACCATTCTTTGGCTCAACCACAAGGCACACGTCCTGGAAAGACTCCAAGTGTTTGTCAAGATCTGAGTCTCCGTCACCGAACACGGGCAAATCATCCCGCAGATTGAAGGTGAAGACCGATGATGTCTCCTCCTTCACACTTCTCAGCTCCGCAGCGCACTCCCTATCATCCTGCTCGGGCTGGCGTCGCATCTCCTGAACAGTCGCCATCAGCGCCGTCTCCTGCGCAGCGTTTTGGGAGGAGTTGCTGCGCGTGCAAACCAAAAAGCTGAGGCCCAGTCTGGCCCTGAGGTCAAGCTTGGCCTCGAGGCCCAACCTGCTCGCGCTGTGGCGCGCGGCTTGAGCTGGGCCTGGCTCGGTCCGCATCCCGGCCGCGGCTCCAGGCGGGGTCTCAACGTCAATGGGTCCCACAAGCCTCGTATCTGTCATATTGTAGTCGGGGGGTGATGGAGCATCGTGCTTCACGTGGCTACGACGGAACCGACGGTGACACCAGCCCGCAGTTCTCCCGCAACCAACCGTGGGACGGCCTGACCGATGCAGCAGAGCTAGGAGGTATACTCCGAGCCTCTATTGCGTTCTTTTCGTGCAACGACTGTAGATGCGCGTCCACACAACCCGCACAGTCGGTTCTGCCTGCAGCCGCGCATGCTTCCGCGGCTCCCTGGAACCGGTAGTAGATCGCCGCAGGGTCCGCGTTGGCGTCTTGTGTAACATTTTGCTCATGCCAGCACCTATGGCGCGGAGCACATGGTCCGGGCCATCCAGGCGGATAGCCGCCGCAGTCGTGCGGCACAAGCTGACGTACCGAGCGTACGCTTTTTGAAACTGGGCTTCGCCCAAGCAGCTCTCGGTGGCACTGACGGCTTCATCCTTGCAGTCTAGACGAGCCATTACTATTCCCTGATGGAGCCTCACCTCGTACTCGATCTTCCAAAGATTCGGACTCAAATGAGCTTAGGAACGAGCCGTTAAGCTCGGATCTTCCGCCAGCGGGGCTGGCTCGGGTCGCTGCATTGGCGGACGAGATCCGTCCCTTGCTGGGTTTGCGGCGCGGCGGTGAACTTATGGAGCATTGGGTTGCCGCTGGACGGCCCCATATTGCTGCTGGCCAATGGGAGGCAAGGGTTTAGCGTCAAGGGCTTATTGGTTTTAGGCACTTTGCGAATACTCTGACCTCCATCCCAGCAATCTGGGGAACCCATAACATTGCAGCAACTGGTGTTTGAATGCTCCCTAGTGTTCCTGACGTCCTTATGCTTAGGCTGCTAAGGTGTGAGAGACGCTCTGGCGACATTTGCAAAATCACGACTCCGGTCACCGTGCAACTCAACCTGCAAGTGCCAGTCTTTGAAAGGGACAGGGACAGTCTCCATTGCAGATACGATAGCTTCTTTCTGACCTCAGTTATTCTCCATGCTGGGCGCACACCTGCACGCTGGTCACTACACGACCAGACTCTTCCTGCCTGACACAGGACATCACAGGAATGCTCAATGGAGCACCGATGAGGCCAGGCAAGCACAGACTGTACATAGAGAGCCCGAGCATGATCACACGCTCTCTACCCAATGCTACATCTTGCTCCTGTGCAGGGGAAGGCATTATGATGGCGAGTGATTGGGGACTTTTGGGGTCCGATCTTGACTGAAAACTCGCTTGTGAGAGAAAAGAATCCTCAGCTGATCTGATTAATCGGACAGCAATAAAAATTCTGCATCATAAGCAATGCACTCTCTTGTGAGGTACCGTGTGTGCCATTTTGGCAATCACGCTCTGAGTTAGTGTGCCTTTGTAGGCCACGTGTGCAGTGCGTTGTACAGTGTACATAGTAAGCACCTTAACTGGCGGATAGTATGGTAGTTGCAGGAGTCATTTCTGGTTATTCGTAGCATTGACTCCCAATGTGGTTCTCGCGCACCAGATGCGCCAGCGCTAAGCCGCTGCCACTTAGGTTCACAAACTAACTCAGCTGTGCACAAGCTGACCCGACCGGCTGTGCTCGAATGGAATAGTAGCAGCAGTAGCAGGAGCAGGAGCAGCAGCAACAGCAGCAGCAGGAGTAGGAGCAAAAATCGTACGGTTGGCATACCGGTCGTCGTGGTGATCGTCGTGGTCATCGCCTTCGTGGTGGTGGTGGTGGCGGCTGCGGTGGCTGTTGTTGTTGTTGTTGTGGTAACGGCGGCAGCGGTGGACGCCATTATCATTGTTGTGGTCCCCGTCGTCGTCGTCGTTGTTGTGGTCATCATCGTGGTGTTGATCGGGGTCGTAGTCTTCGTCGTTGTCGTCGTCGTTGTCCCAGCCGCAGCAGCAGTGGCAGCAGCAGCTGTAGCAGTAGTAGGAGGAGTAGGAGGAGCCGCAGCCTTGGCAGTCACAGTATCAGTCGCAGTCAGCAGTAGAAGCACGAGTTCCAGCAGCAACACACGAAACAAGAAAGCACATAGTCTTGAACAAAGGATCTGGATGCTTCCGGCTGTTTGCAAGTGCTACTGCGAGCTCTTCAGGCCCTTCTGGGGTGACATGGGGCAGTGTTTTGCATTCCCAAAAATAGAAAGCATAGGGGTTATTTCAGACCCTCTCAACTCTAGGCGTGTCACTCGTGACGTCGGTTGCCATGTGTGCAAGGAGTTCCGATTGCCGGGGCGTAGAAATTAAGGCGTCGCCTCCTCACAACCACGTGGTAGCTTCAGGGTGCCACGCCACATGGCCCAATGGTCAAATTCTGAAGACTATTCACACTCCCCCAATCCAACATGGAACCCTATGCAGCCTTCTTGAAAAGGACAGTCAGTTTGGGCTTTCTCTGAGGTTCAATGCTAGTTCAGATATTTCTAAGGGCCACAAGAATGTAGGCCGCCCAGTTTGGAAGGACTCTAAGACGGTCCCAGCCCTCCAAACTACGACGCAAGTCCGCAACTTTTGATACTAAAGCTCATGCATGACCTTGGTTGTGACACAATGCCCTAGGTTTTGGGTACTAGGGTCATGCAGGGCTGTCAACATCAACTGCGCCTCCAAGCCCTGCATCTCACAGACAAACTCCTCGTCCAGCATCGGCAAAGTCGTTCATGTTCTGAGATTTGAGGTGTAAGGTCAACGCACCTGAAACTTCGTAAAGGCGGAAGTTTGAAGTGTTCGGCATGTGAGTAAGTTCAACAATCTCATCTCAAGAACCAAATTCAAACCCCTGACCTGCCACCCCGTACTCCAGATATCTTGGCACAAGGGCTAGTCAACACGTGAGTGCGAAGCTCCAACAGTCCAGTACAAAGGCAGTCAAAGACCGTAAGCGGAAACTTTTAAGTTTCGGTGGTTATGGCTTTGAAGCTACCAGTGTGGTCACAAATGAAGGTCCAGCATTGAAATTCAAAGGTTGGGTCCGTGACACTGTGTGCAACAGTATCTGGCCAGCTGTGGTCCAGAGTGGGAACCTGCTTGGGGACGGCCTGTGCTGCCGCCGATCCACATGCTTGGATGACCGTTCAAGGGGCCATCCTGCTATTCTCTGTGAGTGCAGGCTGGAAGTTGAACACTCCCCGAAAAAGAAGATGGCGAACATGGAGAAATGGATCGCGCACATGGTCCAGCATGGATGAACACCTGGCCAAGTCTATGCGTTAGGGCTCTTTAGGGTTTAGGGTTTAGGGTCAACATTGGGGTTATATAGGGATAATGAAAATGGAAACAACTACAGGGGTTAGGGTTTAAATTTTAAGGTTTAGTCCAGCGTTTTAGGCTCAGGTTGTGGGGCGTTTTTAAACCTGGCCGTCTCCGTGCTCACTAGGAAGGCGGTCTGGAATCTGCACGTGTTCTGAGACCGGCATAGGGAGCTGGTTTTACAGGATCTTTGCTGTCCCCCGAACTACCCAAGCCATTAGAAGCGCATGCCTTGTGTAATCTAGTTCCGAAGCTCGTTGTTAGCGTACGCTCAGTTCAACGAAAGGTTAGTCACTGAAGATACCGGCGCCCGCATGCCTGCCTACCTGCCTGAATGCATGCACCCTGGCACGGACACTGTCAGATCAACCCTTACTTCCTGTCCACAAGGGCTCCAGCCCTAAATTGCTCAATCCAGCGATGCCCTTGGCCTGCAATGCCTCCGACGCCTTCGTCTAGCGTGGTAAATGGAGATCGCTAATCCTAAGCATGCTTGGCACAAGGGTTGCAGTAGATGGCAGTATCATTCGCGCATACTCGCGCAATTTGGCCACTTGGGTTCCCGGGGCCTCCTCACGTTGAGCGAGATGTTCGCACTGCAGCATTGTAGTGTGCCTGGATGAGAGCATCCTTGCTTTCTTTTACTTTATCGGCTCCCGCTACTCTTTGGAGCGATGACTTTACGTTTCGACTCAGTTGCTGCCCTGTTCCGCACCATGCAGCATTGACGCAGCACAACTTCGCCAGCCTTGCGAGCCACTGAGGGTATTGGCAGCAGCAACGCTGGCCCAGTCTAATCCATCAAGCTAGTATACGCTGAATACGGCAGTTGGAAAGCAATGAACAGCACCTTTACAATGCTTAAGGCCTCACTGCCGTGCCACGGCGGCTGTCGGAAAGCGCGATGTTCTGCGCATGGTACGCAAAAGAAGGAACGAACAACCCCCGGATTCTGATTGACAGGAAAGAAAGGAAGCAGCCTTCATAACGCCTTAACTTCCTTAACTTGACTCTAAGGAAGCTCTCGCAAACCAGCCTTTGCTGGAATATACGTGCAAGATGCGCGCACGCGTAGTGATGGGTGTGGGAGTAGGAGGCAGAGAATGAGAAGGTGTACCTCCCGACAACGAGGCTGATTCAAACCTTCCACCATCGATTTTGCACGTTCCATGTTATGTAATTTCGCATGTTCAGAAATCATGGTCTAACGTTAGGTTAGGAAACAAGAAAAAGCCCCAAGAAAATGGCCCGGGCCCAGTATGCATCTGCAGGTCAAGTCGCGAACTGCTCCGCAAATCGGGCACCTGATGCAGATGATTCAGGACCATATCAGCTCACGGCCATGTTAGGACGGCCAGCGATTAAAACGAGTTGCCAGAGTGTTGCTTGTTACGTCTTTTGCTTGGTGAAAGTAGTTTTACGTTAGCATTCAAAACCTCCCAGAATTTTTCGGGTGTGGCAGTAGGAGCGATGGTCCAGACATCATGCAAAGGAGTTTCGTTGGGAAAGTAGCAGGCCCATTTTCTAAGTTTGGGGCGCCTCTACAGACGCAGGAAAGATGTACTCCTGCCAGGCTTTAACGACTGATCATTCCCGTGGCATGTGGCTACGCCAAAAGCGCATTTCAATCGAACAGGGCCCCGAATGCTGGGGGCGGGAGCCCAAGTGATGAGATACGCATCCCAGAAATTCGGCCTAAGATTAGATCTGCATTGGCGTTGTGCTTGGTTTCCTGGAATCCTAAACGGATTTGGTTTGGCTGAAGATTACAGAGTGAGTGGAAAGGTCGTGGGCAGCCTTTAAGCTGGTCTTTTCGGCATCGTAAAGCCCATGAGGAGCTCAACGATGTCCGCATCAGCACCACGAATATTTCACTTGTAAACCCAAAGCACCAAACCCTAAACCCTGAACCCTAAACCCAGAGCCCCAACCTTGCAGCCGCCAGCCGTGCAGGATGAGATTTGGCGACTCCCGAAAAGTGACTGCAGCGATCTACGTCCCGGAAGGTTTCGCAAGGGACAGGGGACAATTGAATTTGTTGGGCTCAGTACGCCTGAGTTGATTTTTGGGATGTTTGGGGGGTTTGGGGTTTCGGGTTTGGGCTTCCAGGACATGGGGGTTTGGCTTGAGTTGGATGAGATTCCACGTGGGGAGCTTGAAGTAGTTGTAGTCTACCTCGAAACGAAGCGTTGCTGAACTCGGCTTTTCTGTCTGCCACTGGACATGTAGTCTCCTGC